CTTCTCCTGCTATTTGTCTCCTTGAAAGACTGCATCATGCAATTACTTAGGGCTTAAGTAAACTTTGAAGGGCTTAAGTTTGGGTACCGTTATCTATATGCTTTTGACTTACTAATCTACAAATATGGAAATCCATTTTAAGAGAAACCACCTGGGAACAGAAACTGGTTACCTCAGTTAACCAAATATGAAAGACCACATGGAGAACAGAAATTGACTTGTTGATATTTTGGTTCCCCGAGTGTCAAGGTCAGTTGCATTTATGATCGTGTGTTTTCTTTGATGGTTTGGGTGTTTTTTGCTAAAATTTATTTTATTAGACACGAACCAAATGCTTCCTTAAGGACTGTACGCCCAAATTTGTGCTGAGCCTATGGGAATCTTTTATGAGAAGGTATTTTATTTTCCTTTAAAATATATAAGCTTATGCTGCTGAGTTCCGACTTATGTTGTTATTTGTTACTACTCATTATTTTAGCTTCAGCTTTTGAAACTGTAGCATGTGTGAAAGGAAGGACTGTGAGTTACACATGTTCCTTTTGAGGCAGTGTGGTAGCTTTTTATGATTGTGGGGCATGGTATGAGGCTGAGAAAATTAAGTGTACAACTTAAAGCAGAGTCCAGGACACCGTGTTCTTCTCTCTGCCCATGCCTTTCTCTCTTTGTGAACCTGTACTCATCCACATCTTCCTCATCTTGCTCAGTCAACAAATATTTCTTGAACACCAGCTGTGGGCCAGGCACTGTTCTAGGCATGGGAGAGACGGGGCAGCCAAGACCTCAGCTCTTGTTCTAGTAAAGAGAAAGAGAAAACTAGCAAGAAAAAAAATAAGTATATTAATCAATTTTTATTTCAGATGATGAAAATGCAAGAAGAAAATGAAACAGGGTAATGGGAGACTGCAGTCAAGGGAATTCTTGCTGAGGAGGAAACATTTGAGCTGAGACTTGAATGACAAAAGGGAACCAGCTGTTCAAAGATGAGTTTCCCAGGAAATGGCCAAGCCCAAATGTGAGAATGAACTCGATACATTCAAGGGCCTGAAGAAGGCCAGGAACACAGTGGGGAAGGATCTTATTTTAATTGGGCGGAGAAACTATGAACTGAAATGGAGCGGGAGTGGAAGCGGGAAGGCCAGTTAGGAGCCTCTTGGGGTAGGTCAGGGAAGTAACAACGGTGGCTTGAACTTGGGGAAAGTAATGGAGATGGAGAGAAGGGGACAAATCAGGGATATATTTTGGAGAAAAACCCGACAGGACTTGCTGATGGACTAAATGTAAGGAATGAGAATAGGGTAAAATGACTGTTAGGGTTTTTTGTCTGAGCTACTTGGTAGGTGGTAGTACTTTTAACTGAAACGCAAAGCGGGGTTTGGGGGCACATGCTGGAAGGTGCAAGAAAATAAAAAAACTTGGTTTTCAAACATGTGAAGTTTGAGATGCCTGTTAGATGCCCAAGTGAGATGTTGAGGAGACTGAAAGCTATACAACCCTGGCTATAACTCTGGTCAAGGAGCAGATTAGAAGTTCAGCCGCAGACAGACGGTAACTGAAGCCATGAGGTTAGACGAAATCAAGTAAGACAGAGTACGTAGAAACAAAAAGAAAGGTGGTCCAGGGATCAAGCCCCAAGCCTCTCATATTCTCTTTCTGGAAACTAGAAATTTAAAAATTACGTACTTTGTCGATCCTTTAACAGAGAGTTACGCAGTACAAAGTTAGAGTTACAACAGATATCTTAGATACAAAAGAATCCTATGACATTTGGTGGACAATTCATGCATGTGGTATTTGTTTGTGAAAATATTGAGCTATATATGGACCAATTCCCATAAAAACAAATAATGATGCTGGCTTATTACCACACATTGACCTTTGACTAATCACAACCAGATCTGGAAAAACACAAGATTGCACTTGGTTTCTCTGAACACTAGAGGGAGATATATACACCTGCAAATTAAGGAAACATTTTTTCCTATACAACCAATTTTACCACAGAATCATAGAATATTTAAAATTTTGATATTCTTGCAATCATCAAGAAATTAGTCATGGGCTAATGCTAAAATAAATTACACATGTTTGGAAAGTAACCCATTTTCTGTTAAACCAGGTTTTACTAAAAGGCTATTTCGTATATGCTTATGATGTGCTATATTGCCAGGTGACGTCTTAGTCATTTTTCTCTTGGGCAATGTGAAGCAATAATATAAAAATCAGTCCATTTTTTTTTTTTAGATTACAGTCCACTTTTATTTGGGGAAACATCAGTGTTTCCTCCCCAGGAATTCTGGTAATATGCTCATTGTAAGCCAAATTGTCAAAAGCTTTTACTCTCGACCTTATGTCTGTGGACACTGGGAATGTGCTGTACTTCATCACGTTCAGTGTTTTTCAGGTGGCTTAAAGGTCATTGGCACTGACTTAATTCTGGGCTTTTTATTTGCCCAATAAAATGCTCTTCGACTTTTCTAGGTAATCACATAGATATGTAGTGTTTTCATGATTGCTCGAGGCAGCTAGAAAACTTTTTCTTTATTTACTTTGGTAATCTTTCCAAGGAACACACTGTACAGTGTCCTCTTTTCCTGATCAAAGGTTGAATATGAGCCTGATCCAACAGCTCTTAGCCTACCAAATACTTTCTTTGACCTTGTAACTAATTTAATAAGCCCTCTTTTCTGTAACTTCAACACTGAAATGCTTCTGGTAATTGAAGGGAGAAAAATGTCTTTTCTATCCCTAGGGAAGGAGTATAGTGTAGGAAAAGAGGCTATTTTCTGGAATCAAAGCTGGTATGAATCCTGACTTTGGATAGATGTTAACTAAACATATTATGGTGATCATTTCACAATGTATTTGTATATCAAATCATTATGTTGTACAACTTAAACTCATACAATGTTATGTGACAATTATATCTCAAAAAAAAAAAAAAAAGTCCCGACTTTGTCTCTACTGGCTGGTGAAGGCAAACAAGTTACTTTGCATTTCTGAACTATTTTCTTTTTCTAAATTGGAATCACCATCTTTCAGAATTGTTGTGTAGACTGATTCAGATACTAAAGGAAAAGCAGCTAGCTTAGCTCCTAGTAAAAAGCAAGCATTCCAAGTTCCCTGGGACTTCCTCTTTTCCTTCCATGTGAAATGCTTTATAAAATAACCCTATAAATCACATGTTCATAGATTATGTGCTATGACGTATTTGTCATGTGCTGGTGTTATGTACGGAATGTGACCTGGGCCACACTGCAGCTGTACTGCCCTGTGCTCTATAGGACAAGGACAGATATAGGACCTTTCCAAGTGACCAGCCACTCATAAATATGGGCTTGTGAGTGGCGAGAGGGGAGGGGTGGCACTGGAAATCTAGTGAGGACTGTTATCCCTGAAATGAATGACTTCCCCTTTCCCTCCACAAATGTGAATTCCACCTCCCCACCCCCATAAAGGTCCAGTTCAAATCCTCCTTTTTCCAAGAGACTTCTCAGCCTAAATGAACTCATCTCTCAAACCACCTGTAACGTTGATCCGATTCAATCATCTGGCAATTCATGCCTGGCATTCCCACTTAACCATTTCATTTACATATGTCTCCCCAACCAGGTAGGTTCTTATAAGGTACAGTTGCTACTATGTCATATTTTGCAGTGCTTCACTTTAACACATATCACAGTGCTTTACATGAGGCAGGCTGTATTTGGATGTATTTCCATGTCAGTTTTCCTTCAACTTACTTTGTGGCATGCAGTTTGACAATGGAACTCATCCAGAGTAACTGTGTAGGTACAGCTTAGAGCATTCTGCTGACAACACCTGAAAGTTATCTCTTTCCTTTAAACTATAGATTGTTAAAAAGAAAGAACCAAAAAGTATAACATATTAGCCTTACATTTGTGCCATTTACTCTGCTACCTCTGCCATGATTTTTTTTTTTTTTTGCGGTACGCGGGCCTCTCACTGTTGTGGCCTCTCCCGTTGCGGAGCACAGACTCCGGACACACAGGCCCAGCGGCCATGGATCATGGGCCCAGCCGCTCCGCGGCATGTGGGATCTTCCCGGACCGGAGCACAAACCCGTGTCCCCTGCATCGGCAGGCAGACTCTCAACCACTGCGCCACCAGGGAAGCCCCTCTGCCATGATATTTGATGAGTATTCACTTTCAGTTGGAACAGTTTTGTTTCCATGACGTAATGATCATCACTCACAGATAAAATACAGCAGAGAGTGTGTGATAAACATTTTCCTCACCAGCAAGCCACTTGTTTTCTTTTTAAACCTCTTAGTCAGATCTTATCATTGGTCATAAGATGTATGAGAGGTAATGTGACACCTGTAAAACTCTAAGAGTTGGCATTCATGACTCCAATTTTACATACATAGAATGGAAATAGACAATGAAATTTTATCATTGTTTATTATTCAAACTGGAGAACGAAAGGGTGCTGAAGCTGGAATTAGGATGCTCTTCAAGGTCATGGTGGGTAAAGGCTCACCCATGAAATGGATCACCTCGTCCCCAAGTGTCAAACCATAACACAGGAAAGTCATAATCCTAAATCTTTACTTAGCAGCTCTGTGATGTGACCCTCTTGAAGTGTGACTCTGCTTTAGGTGGGCCCCACCTTTCCTCTAAGCACCTAGACAAGGTTCCATGTTCTTCAAGAAAACAGTACAGGAACGTACCTTCAAATACGAATAAATAGAACTGAAGAAGCATTACTTTCAAAAGAGTTGTATGGTGATGCATTTTTTAAAGAATATTCAGGTAAAAAAAAAAAGAATATTCAGGTAATGGTGACAGTTTTTAAAAAATAGATGCAGAGGGCTTCCCTGGTGGCGCAGTGGTTGAGCGTCTGCCTGCCGATGCAGGGGACACGGGTTCATGCCCCGGTCCGGGAAGATCCCACATGCCGCGGAGCGGCTGGGCCCATGATCCATGGCCGCTGGGCCTGCGCGTCCAGAGCCTGTGCTCCGCAACGGGAGAGGCCACAACAGTGAGAGGCCCACGTACCGCAAAAAAAAAAAAACCAAACACTAAAATAATGCAGAATGACTCCATCTTGGGTTTGGTGTCATCCAATTCTATTTCAGTAGAGTATCTTTCAACTCCCTCCTCCTTACCAATCCATGCTTATCTCCCACCATTCTCTTCCCTATGCAGTCTCTATATTGTGCAACATAGAACTTCTACTCAGATTGTGATCCTACACATTTTGACTGAGTTTACTTTTCCTTTGTATTTTTCTTTAACTTTATTCCAGCCAAACTCAAAGGCATTATATCAATTAAGCTTTTGCTCAAACATCTAAAATGGTCTATTCTTTTTTAAAACAAGAATTCACATGGTATCATCTTCTAATGTATTAACCATTATTGTTTGCATGAATGCTATTCTCTCTTTTACTATGTTTAAGTCCCAGTTCAAAGATCACTTCCTCTACAGCATTCCCTGACTCTCCCAGGCCTGGTATCCCCCAAAGATACCTGGCAGAGTTATAGGCGTGAAATTGAACAGATGCAAAAATATTCCAGTTGTTCTGTATTTTGGAGAAGAATGACCCTGACGAAATTAATTGCCTTCTCAGACCCAAAGGATGCATACATAAACTAACAGGGAAAGAGGATATTTTTCTAGGTTAAGATTGGTATTATTAGTAGAAGCAATAAATAGAAATGAACTCTCAGAGTTATTCTACTTTCAGTGAAATTAAGCAAAAGCCTTTCACTACAGTCTATGAAATACTTATCACTATAGTGTATACAAAATCATTATTTTTGTTTTTATAACCTTTTCTCTAATTACAACATTAACAAATTGATACCATAATGGTGAATATATGTAATTATACATTTGTTATAGAATGTACAACACAAAGAGTGAACCCTGTGTACATACACATACACACACACACACGCACACACACACACACACACACACACACACTGATTGCTTGACCTGTTCCATGGGTCCCTGAGGCTCCATCCACTTTTTTCCCTCCAGTTTTTGCTTTCTGTGCTTCAGTTTTGATAGTTCCTGTGCCCTGTCTTCAAGTCTTTTTTTCTTTTCTCCTGCTCTTAATCTTTCTAATTTATCACTGAAAAAACCTCCTTGAAGATGTTTTCATGGACCAGCTCCTCTCTAAGCCACCTGCCCTCCTATATTTCTGCCTAATAACACACTGTAACCAACATCCGATGGGCCTCTTAGAGCAAAGCCTTTTGCTCTTCCCTCTTCCCCTACACTTCCTTCTCGTACTGTCAGTGGGGAATCTTCCTCTCTTAAAGGATTTCAACAATAACTCAGTCCCAGGAACTGAAGTCATGCTTGGTGAGTTTCTAGCCTCATTTTCTTTTTCTATTTTTCAATCCCCATTGGCCAGAAGCCCCCTTCTAGAAATCAAAACATCATGACTGTTCTGTAACATGTACCTTCCAGGTGACCTTCATGTGGAACAAACTTGGAGAATCACAGACTCATTTCAGTAACATGGCATTGACCAAGCTATCCGTTTCTATCCCCGTTGGAGGGGTTTACTTAGTGGCTCTCCTCGGTGAAGGGAATCTTCCATCTGCAATCTGAAGAAGAGAGTTTCCACTGGTCATGTTTCTGCCAAGGCTCTGTCCCATCACACCTTTCCACTCCTCCAACACACACACACACACACACACACACACACAAACAGAGTATACCACTTCTAAGCACCCACTATAGTCACTGTTTCCATACAGATACAAAATTCTTTTCTGTTACAAGAAGCTGATCATTTTGTCACAATATCATTATCTCTATAGGTTGGCTTTTTGGTTTTAATAATAATCTTACATAGAGATGTACTTGAATAGGACATGGTACTTAGCCAAAGATATCCAGAAGGTTTGCTCAAAAACATTTCTTGTTGGGTCAGCCTTTATTAAATCCTCCCCAGGAGCTGATATTTTGGGAACAAAATATTACTGGTAAAGAGAAGCATGTGAAGTTTCCAAAAGCAAGGGAGTATGTAACCAATGAAAGGATAAAATTTCAAGGCCTGTACAGTAAAGCAGCTGTTAGATGATTTACTGGAAAATTCCTCCAAAACATAACAGAGGCTTCCTACTACAAAGGAAATATTTTCCTTCAAATCCATAATATTAAAGTTCACTATGTTATGTACTCAAGAGACCTCTCTAATAAAACCTGGGATTTTCACAATAACCTCCACCTTAGGGACTTGACTTTCTTTCCATCCCTCCGAGCAGCCAGGGCGCCACTGGTGTGAGAGCCACGATGTGTGTTCTCAACTTCAGAGATTTGTTCCTTTTGTGCAGTTTCCAGTGTCAATAACAGGCTAGGACTTCACTTCTCAGACATACCAGTGACTCACGCTAAACTAAGCAAAGGAGATAACCTCTCACTTTCAATTAGAGGAATTATCTTAGACCCGCCAGCATGTGTGGATTTACAAAGCAGCAAGGACAAGTGCAAAGCAATACTTGTAAGGGGAGGGGAGGGGTGAGGGAGAGAAAAACAGACTCTGGCCAGTACCTCCCCTTAGCTTTCTCCATGGGTGACCAACACGCAGGCGGACTTTCTCAGATGCTCCAGCACCTGAGCGCTTTGGCCAAGTCCTGGTCGAGGCCTGTGAAAGTGACCAGAGAGTGAAGGCGACTCCACAGAGCGGTGACTGTGGGAGCACCCCCGTGACCGAATGGGCCAAAAAGCTCTTAATAATTCCCCAAACCCAAACTTCCCCATCTAACCTCATCCTTGACTCTGCTGACCCACAAGACCGTTTATTAGGAGTTATCAGAAACCACTCAGACTCTTAAGGTCGTATTTGCACATAAAACACCCTCTGGCTCAAACTTCAAGGAGGAGCCCACCTGTACAAAGGGCACTACTGAGCTTGCTGAGGGGTAATCACTCCCAGGACTTTGATCAACAAGAGAAAAGCAGAACGGTAGTGGAGGAAAGAGACGCAGTGACACAAGCCGAGGTCAGAACCAGAGGTGGCCCCTGCCACTTGCCTCCTTTCGGATTTTGAATGTGCCAACCAGTTCCAGCCCTCCTGTCCCTGGATGTGCCAGAGGTGTGGGCTAGGCCATCACAGCAGGAGCAGTGCTCCCCAGAAGACAGCCCTTTATCTGCTTACTGATCAATGAACAGGAGGCTGTTCTGAGCCTTGTTTGGATATTCAGACGGTCAGAAGGGACACGGCTTCAATATGCTCATCTAGTTGATTGAACCTCCAGGCTAAACAGTCCTACTTTTCTTAAGAAATGAACGTGGACATGGTCCATTGGCAACAGGAACACTGATGCTGGAATGATCTGTTCAATAACTCTGACACGCCTCTATGACACATGAGTCAAACGTCCGGAGTTGGATTCTGACCTAAGCTGATACTGTGGGAGCAGGAGAACTTAGCTCTCCGTGCACAGAGGCTCCGCCTTGGCCCCCGAGGCCACAAGGCAGTGAAGGTTTGAGTCCCTGTGTCGGTGACTCAGCTCTGCCTCTGCTCTGGGAAGATAAATTAGGCGCCACGTGCTTTACTCTAGGTAAAATAGGTTATTCAGGGAAAAATGTAAAAAGACTTCAAAAAGATTCCGGTCAATATGAAAGGTCCCCTATCAGAAAAGGTGCATATTGGGGCCATGACAAGAACTTCTTCCTTCTTTGTGAAAAAATAGTATCCTCCAAGTTGCTGACAACTGTTTACTGCAGGGGTCCTTTGAGTTGGGCTGATAAGGAGGGAGGCAAACCCCACTTCCAGTGATACTCTGCAGGCTGTGAGGGCAGCACGCCCCCTGCCCTGCAGCACGTGCTACCACCCCTGTCCCAGCTGAGGAGCAGCTATGAAGTCTGTTCTCATCCCAGCAGCGAATGGGCCCGGGGCCTATTATTTCCACGTGGTAGGAGATACCCTGGGATAGGCTGGAGAGTCGTTTGTCATAAGTGTGTTGGGCAGCTTCCCTTCTGCACTCTGTGAGGGTACGTGTCCCAGGCAGCATGCCCCCTTGTCTCCCTCTCACCCCCCTGTGCTGACAGACCCATGGCCTCATTCAGGGCTCAGGCAGCAATGTGCTCACAGTAGTTAGGCTCAGGCCCAGGGATGACTCATGACTGGCCATTCCCCTTGGCCAGTGATGGGTGTAGGGATCAAGTCCAAAAGAAAAACAAAACAAAACAAACAAACAAAAAAAAAACACAGCTTACAGGCTTTGGGAAAGGCTTTCCTCCCTAATAAAAGGAACCTTGACATGACTGAGCAGCTGAATTAACCCTTCCCGCAACCCTACCTCTGAACTTCTTGTTTAGGGAGAGGATATACTTCCTATTGTTTAAACCCCATTGGATATGGTGAAAATTGCAATGAAAGGCATCCTTATTGGCCTTACTGGTTCTCAGTGGTAGGAACCTGAAGTTACTTTCCATCTCTGGAAAAGTGCTACAAGCCACAGGCTACCAGCTCCTAATAAGTAGAGAAAATAAGCACTCACTCGTGGTAAGCTGCGTGAATCGAGGCAATTGCAGCTGAATTTGCTCATCTGTAAAATGGTTTTAGCAGTAGCAACAACTGCAGAGGCTTATTATGATTAATTTAGTTAGTGCGGATAAAGTTCTTAAAATAGAGCACAGAGTAGAGACTCAATTTAAATGTCAAATGTCATTATTATGGAGATGAGGCAAGAAGGACTGATCATCCTGGGCTAAATTAGGGCTACCAACTAGAAACCAAGATTACAGCAGACACTGGTAAGATAAAGGAGACAAAAATTGCAGTTTAACAATGTCTTCCTCACACTCATTCTCTCCACAAGAGTATACGGGTGACCTGGCTGTGACAGCAGTTCTTGTCCCTTTCGTGTCCAGGGTTGGCTCAGTTTACCTGAAGTGGTAGACTGAAAGATGTCCCCAAAGATGGCCACGCCCTAATCCCCGGAACCTGTGACTGTGTTACCTCACATGACAAGAAGGACTTTGCATCTGGAGATGGGGAGGCTACCCTGGACCAGGGGTCCCCAGCCCTCCTGTTAGGAACCGGCCTGCACAGCAGGATCCCCATCGCTTGTATTATTACACCCCCCAGGTCTGTGGAAAAAACTGTCTTCCACAAAACTGGTCCCTGGTGCTAAAAGGATGGGGATCGCTGCCCTGAACTATCCAGGGAGGCCCAGTGCCCTTATAAGAGGGCAAAGGAGATCAGAGTCAGCAATGGGAGGGTGCTGATGGGAACAAGAGCCCGCAGTGATGGGAGGAAGGGGCCACAGCCAAGGAATACAGGCAGCCTTTAGAAGCCGGAAGAGGCAAGGAATCTGATTCTCTCCTAAACTTCCAGAAGGAACTCAGCCCTGCCAGCAGCTTGAATTTAGACTTTTGAAGTCCAGAATTGTAAGAGAAAAAAAATTGTGCTGTTCTAAGCCAAAGTTTGTAGAAATGTGTTACACCAGAAATAAGAAACTAATATTTCTGGCTAACCAGGTGAGACCTGCCCCCTACCTCCTCGTCTTCGTTTAGATATTCCTGCTGCAAGTAACGGAAGTCTCAACCCAAAATGGCTTAAGGGATCTGTTATCTTACATATTAAAATCAGAGTAACAGAGCCAAGGTGTTATAGGTTGGCTAATTCAGCAGCTCAGAGACCTCATTAGAGATCAAGTGTTTTGTTTTTCCAAATTCCTGCTCTGCCATCCTCAGCATGAAGGTTTATCTTTTCAGGTTGGTCCACTCATGGTCAAAAATGGTGGCTGTGCTTCAAATCACTATATCCCTCCACATTAATGTCCAAAGGTTGGAAGATAAAGTCATTTCTTTCATGTGTCCCTTTTTAGGTAACAGGAATAATTTCCCAGAAGTTCCCAAGTAAACTTTGCCTCTAGTGGCATTAGCAAGAATTGAATGATTCCTCTATTTCTAAATCAGTCACTGAGGAGAATGGAATTAACATTCAGCTCTGGTATAGCAGAAGGGCCAGCCCCTCCTGAAAGTACTTGGCAGCCTACTTTCTAGGTTGTATTAGTAAGAAGAGGGATGGTAGGTGATGTGTGTAGCAAACATACACATCCTCCATTCCCTCCCCAAGGTCCCCTTTGAGCAGACAACTGCATCAGAGAGAAAAACCTTCCAAAATAGAGGAAGGCTGTCCTTCCGGTGAAGTGTGCTAATGTCTGTAACCCTCACTCTCTTGCTCAAAATCTTCTGACCTGGAAGCACATTCATTTATTTAATATTTTTCTTTGCTCAGAGTAACTACTAAATAAATGTTTATGAATCAAGGGTCAATAATTGTCATTTTGTGCCTCTAGTGTTATTATTTTCTGATTGTTTGTTTCTCAACAGTCGGGAGGTATTTAGAACCTACTGGAGATTTCGTTAGCATAGATATTTGTATTAGGTGGAATAAAAATAAAAATACTAACTCATATAACATTTTCTCTGAGCCTGTCATTACACTAAGGACTTGATGTAACTCATTCAACCTTAGCTATATGAAGTGGTACTGTTTTTAATCTCCATTTTACAGATGAAGAAATTCAAACACAGAGAGAAAAACCATTGCTAATCCATAAATTCCTCTGAGGAAAAGGTTAAGCGATGGCAAAGACTGGTCGTCTAATGATATTTTAAAAGGAAATAAAAACAATTTAGGACAAGTGGCCTGATCCATTGATATAAACTACAGGAGAATTTTATATTTCAAAAACATTGTTTTTGGTGTAAAATTAAATGACACAAGCAGCATTCAAACCTATACCAAGGGGTGGATGAAAACATAGGGCAAAGTGAAAAGTGTGTCTGTCTGTGGGAAAGATACCAAAAGAAAAAATAAAAACTTTATAAATTATGATCCAACAGTCATGAACTAGTGAAAAAACTTGGGATTTCAAAGAGTTGATTTGGAAGCAAGATCTTTTGGCTTCCCCTAGCTGAAGACCAATATTTTGAATGGCTTTTATCTGTTTCTATAATTATTTTGACCTTTCTCTGAACTAACACCTTCTTTTAAAAACACGTATGGGACACGGTGTTACAACCATTCTAGACAAAAAGGCGTATATTATGTTTTGGCTATTGGGCTTTTCTAATCACTATTGACTCACTTTGTTGTTATTGATTTTGGATATAATGGAACAAAATGATTCCATCAGTTCTTGCATACAGATAGTCAGTACTAAACTCCATGTTAAATTTGTTAGGATTCCCTTCAGGAGAGATGATGCCTGCAGATTCCATTGTGCTTTGTTGGTTGGCACTGCAATGGAGACTGAGATGTTTTTTCAATAATCTATAGAACAGTAGGCATTTTTACACCAAGGGAACAAAAATTACCTCATCTGAATCCTTTTAGAGGTGACAGGGTTTCAGTGAAGTTAGGTAGTTATTTAAAGATAGGACATTGTAGATTTCATGATGCAAAGTAAACGGAAGAATGCCTTCAAGAACACAAAATCCTGAAATACATAAAGGGAAGTAGGAGGCTAATTTATGGTAAATGCAAAGCATGAAACTCAAAAATTCCCAAAACAATTTGCATTGTGGCAGTATGTTGATTTAATTCTGGTTCTACTTAACTGATCAAATATCCAGAAAGAAAAATAGAAAATGTTGTTCATTTATCTGGATGATTCTAAACAGTCATATACTTGACATAGTAGAACTAAAATAGTAATGATCCAGGTTTTCTTGTTTTAATACTTGACATCTAAAATTGTTCTTGTTTCAACATTTCCTAAAAGGAGTCAATGTAAAGACTTCATTGATGATTGTTAAGTGTATTACTCTTTTGCATTTAGTTTTCCCAGACCAATTTATTGTTGCCAAGCATGTCTGGACAGGTTCTATCCTCTGAATTCCCAGATTTTAATTTGGTATTTCTATGGTACTCTGAATCATTGCTGGTAGAGTTTTAATTAGTCCAATGCATTGGAAACTAATTTGGCAGTATATACAAGAGTCCTACAATGTTTGGGTATTTGACTCAGGGGTTCTGCTTCTGGAAATCATTTTCAGGAAATAACACAAAATTCACAAAACATATTTATGTTCAATAATATTTGTTTACATGGTAATTATGTTAGCCAAGATGAGATACAACCTAAATGCCTGATAATAGCAAGATGGTTAAGTAAATTATGATATATCCACTGAAGGATGTTACTGTCTCTAAAATTTATAAAAAAAATGAGAAAATTCTTAAATATAATGACAAGTACAGAGGTGGGCAGAAGGCAGAAGCAAAATTGTGTTCAGCATTTGATCATAACAACATTAAAAAACATATTATTTTAAAGACTGAAAGAAATATATCTCCCAATGTCCATTACAAAAGAAAGGATAAATAAGTTGTGGTATAGGCACATGATAAAATATTATAAAATTGTTAAATGAGTGGACTTGCGTCATATAAGCCAACATGGATGAATCTTAATAAATATACCAAAACAAACTAAACAAAATATTACATTATTTAGATACACATATGTATACATGTGCATGTGTGTGCATTACGAAATTAAGAAAAGGAGTGGTGATAAACACAAAAATGTGGGACAGTAGTTATCTCTGGCAGGGAGGCACAGAGTTAGGAGGAACAGGGGAAAAACAAGTAGATAGAGGTCAGTTACTGGTAGCATTCTACTTCCTGACAGGGCATGGGGTCTTTTGCTATTCATTATGTTATATAGTAATGAATAAACAAAATAAAAGATGTCCGTGCCTGAGCCCATGACAACAGTGTGCCACAACTGAGAATTAAGATTTATCCATTTCTTAACTTTGTTAGAAGATGAGATTATAAATGACTTTTTTCCCTTTATACATTTCTACAATTTCTATCATTAGCACTATACTTTAAATTTTTAAACACAATAAACAAATCTAGAAAGCCTGTAGATATAAAAATTCAAAAGACAAATTATACCTGAGGCTGGATGAGCTAGAATTACCAAATTTAAGTCAGGCAATTGAACCAAAAGCTTGGGTTTAATTAACAGTAACCTGCAGTTAGTGGTTACATTATGTAGACCTGATTTTATTTTCTTAATCCTGATGATTCCAATTCTTCTCTGAGAAAGTGACCACACTGGGGCCTAACTGTAAAGATCTAAAAATGTTATATTTTCTTATAATTAATTATAATAGCTAGTATCAATTATTACTATGTGCCAAGTACTGTGTTAAGTGCTTTTCATCCATAGTCAGATTTAATGCTCACACTAAACATATGATAGTTACTAGTATTGTCAAAATTCAACAGATGAGGAAACTGAGGCACAAAGAAGATAGGTGCCTTGCCCAAGATCACACGACCAGTAAATAAGGGAGCTCAAAATTTGAGCCTAGACTTACAATGGATCAAGCCGCCTCCTGAGAACTAAAAAAATCTTACCAAACTCTGATCTCAATAAATATGTACATATGAAAGTGGAAGTGTAATAAGTCTGAGAGAGGGCCCTAGAGTTTGGTTCTCAGAACCATGTGTGAGGGTAGATGTAGGGGCATGGTTTCCCAGGGCAAAGATCTGAAGATAGAAGTCGGAGAAGTATAGACCCCAAGGATACCTAGAAGGCGGGCTAGCTCGGTCCCTTGAGCAGGGCTCTGAAGGCCACGACTACGTAGGTTTATAGCTAGGCTTCACCACATACTAGCTTTGTGACCTGAGAAAGTTACTGGAATTCTCTGTGTTTCATTTCCTACGATTGTAAAATTGTAAAACAGTCGTACCTACCTCACAGAGTCATTGTGTGTATTAAATGAATCAACCTATGTAAAGCACTCAGAACAATTCCTGGCACATAGTGCTCATGAAATGTTAGCTATTATAATTCTGGTGTATATTTTCCCAGTACATAATCTTTTCTGTCTCTCTCATTGTACATTCATCGGTTGCTTTGAATTATCTGGGAAATGAGAGAAGTTATAAATAAATACAGAATGGAAAAATAACCCTTATAATATTAATAAATCTACTTTTATGATACTGAATAGAGGCTTAAAAATACATACGCTGGTTTTCTTTTGCAGTTGAAAGAACATAATTCTAGGACCAGGAGATGTGAATTCAGGTCCTGGCTCTGTCCGTAACTCTACAACCTTGGATAAATCTCAACTCTATCAGCCTCTGTCTTCTTGCCTGACAGTGGAGGTGATGATGCCAGGATCACCTCCCTGAATGCTTTATTCTGGCATGTGTCAGCAGGTTTGTGCTTTCATTTCATGATCCACACTTGGTGAGCAACTGCTCTGTACCAGACTCAGTGTTGGAGGTGGGACATGAAAAGTTTGGTACCTTGAGGAATTCAGGGCAGAGGAACTGCAATCCTGACTGAAGAGTGTGAGCCTGCATGAGCCCACAGGGCTGGGGAAGGAATGAAAGCAGATATTCCAATTCAAATGATGATTTTCGAATTCTAGATAGTACACCAACCACACAAGGGGGAATAATAGCTGGCATTATTTTGGCCATTCAGAAACAGGTCCTTTTTTTTTTTTCCATCCTGAAACATATGCACATTTCCATGGGACTCTCCACCTATAACTGCCACCATCTGAAATATTTTGTTTTGCATTTGTTTTGAATCCTTTAAGATTCCACAAAACTAACTCACTTTCTCAGGACAGAACATTTGTATTTGTTTGGCAGAAATTTTCCCACCGTTCATGTCCAATTATTAAGTTGGTTAGATAGAAAATAATGATATTACTACTCTTCCATGCTTATCACCCTTGACATTTTCCAAATAGAAACTTTGTTCATTGGCTGAAATACTGTTTAGTACTATCCAACGTCAAAGACAGGTTTGGTACACCAATCTCCTTGGAGAAAAGGATGTGGGTCTCTAATTCAGTTATAGATGGAACTGAATTTGATAGCCCCAGACTATTTGCCAATAATATTTTTATAGCCACAAATAACCTGGCAACTCAGCATTTTAGTTTTGAGTCAGGTCAGGAAAAGGTCTACTTTGGGTCTGATTAGTTATTTATTTGCACAGTTTTTCAGATGTTCATGTAGTGCCCAGGTGCACGTCCATCCAGAGCAGAAAAGCCCACCAAGCTGACCAAAGCCACAGCTAGGTGTCAAATTTTAAGGTTTGACCCCCCAAACCCCAAATTCTATGCCTGTGGCATCTATATAAAGGAATCAGACTCCCCCCCAAAAAATAATCTAAAGCTTTTTTGTTAACCTATCATCACAATATTTGATGTTGCTCAGACTGCACCAAATTTTTTTTTAATTGTTCTTCTCAAAATGTAATAAAAAGAGAAGTACAAATAGCTGATAAACCACAAAAAGATGCCTGGCCTCATAATGATAAAAGAAATGAAAAATAAAATATATTTCTCCTATAAAACTGATAATCTCTTGAAAATTGATAATAACCAACATTGGCAAGGGTGGGGTAACAGGATCTCTCACTTAGATGTTGGGCCTTAAAATATTAGTAAAATTTTTCCAGAAGGAAAAACACCCTGATATTTTATGTATCCTTTGACCTTGAGATTCTACTTTTAAGAAATTATCTTCAAAGGAAATAATTATGAACGTACGCAAAGATTTGCCTTCAAGGATAATTGCTGTATTGTTTTCAATAATGAACAGTTAAAAAAATTAAATGTCCAAAAATAGGGGATTGAGTAAATAAAAGATGCTATATCCATACAATGATATAGTATATAACCATTAAATATGTTACAATATTTTGTGGCAAGAATATATTTATGATATATTAAGTAAAAGGGTCATCATCATTAGCAGCAGTTATCCCTAAATAAGAGATCTAATTTGATTTGTAAATTTAAAAAAATTTTTTTTTCTGTATTTTCTATGGTGAATGCATTTACCACTTTAATAGAAATTATAAACTATAATATAATTTTTAAAAACATATGAACTATAATGTAATGCTTCTTAAACTTGTATAAATTTCTAAATGTTATTAAAGCAAATAGATATTGGCATTCACCTTATAATCTCTGTGAGAGTAACTTTATTAAAAGTTATACTTTACGAGTTTTTATCAATTTAGTGTCAATATAGAATGTAATATTTGTTGAAGACACTGTAAACACATAGACATTTTATATAATATAGTGGTTGTGCACTATTTCAGTGGAGAGCTGAGATTTGCAAACTTGCACTCCTGTCCATGGGAAGCACATGGAAATAATAGGAAGAGCTGACAGATGTAGGTACTTTGTAGTCTAGTCCAAAATAATAGGGGTAGAAAGCCAACACTCATTGGTATCCGGGGAGGCCTGCACTAAATTCCTGCCACTGCCCCTCATAGGCTGTGTAACTTTGGCCAACTCACTGAACTCCAGCAAAACAGGGATAACAATAACGTGCAATATCTACCCCTTCCAGGGGTTGTGAGATTTAAATGAGAAAAGAGGGCTAAAAGTAGAATTTGCACTACACGTGGCAAATAAATACTCAATAAACTTAAGC